GCGCAAGTTTTGGTATTCTTTTAAAATTTACTTGGAATTATTATTTCCGATATCCTGGTTCCTCAGGATGAATTATTTTACTTGAGTCGGCCTAATTATCCTCATAGATTGCTCCTTGGTCCTGTTACGCCTATTCATAAATAACAATATCTTCTCGGCCTTCGTTTATTTCTGCTATTGATTCCATCAATTAATTGATGGCTACTATCTAGTATTTTGGCACTATTTTGTAGCCATTTAGGTTAAATTACTTGTGGGTGTGTGGACACACTGAATACTACTAGGAACTAATCGGTCCATCTTATCAACCTTCCGTCTTCGTTGTTATCAGGCATTCCCCCGGCCGGTGGGATTGCCACTCCAGCAAGTCTTGCCTTTGCCAACAAAGCAGCTGAGCAAGCACGTAGCCGAGTGCGTCAATTGATAAACCGATTGCGTACTCCTAGGCGTCAGTCTCTTCCTGACCCTCGAACTTCGATGTCCGGTGCCCGAGGGATAGGCAGCATTGCTATTGGCTCTAATCCAGTTTTGTACTCGTGTGGACCCGAAACTTCATCTATGGGCTCGGACAGATTTCAACCCTCAGCAACAGTTCTAGCAGCTAAGACCTCAAGCGGCTCAACCTCAAACATTAATACTATGGCTACTAACAATTCATCTGTATCAGCATTCTTCTCATCCAACCTGACTGGGCCTGGGTCTGGCTCGCTGCCTATAGGGGCCTCGGCAAGTACAACCATGGTTGGCAAACTGAATACAAAACATCTACAGATGACCAACCAACTCACGGTGAATGTTGTTTCTTTGTTTATGGAATTTTCTTATTTGCCTTTTTTAATTAGACTTTTGTGTCTAACTATTTGTGTGCTTCGATACCTAGTCTCAGCGATGTATTTCGTATTTAGATGCCTTGTGACGCCTCCATAAAGAGACCTCGCAGAACGTGAGGTTAATCTACTCCATTGCAAACCCGACTAGTGAGCAAGATGAAAGGCTAGAGAAGTTAAAGTAGAAAAATAATATTGTCGTTATACTTACCGAAGCGCATTGGTAGTATAAATAAAACTGAACAGAGCAAAGGATGTACAAGCTGTCTATGAAGCACAATATAGTCTATGTTTATCGGAATATGAGATTTTGGACCTTAGAAATCAGCTGAGGTATGAACTTGGTAGAGCAAGTCGTGACTTACTAAGACTAGCAGGTGCCACCGAAGTTTCTTAAGGCTATAATTCAGGGGTGAAGGCTTCTTCGTTGGAATAGCTGAACTTCATTGGAATGCGCATCTTTGCTAAACTATATCTTAATTAGTATGGAATATCCAAACTATCCTAGTTTTATTATGAGACCATTCCTTACATTCGTTTGTATAATCTAGATCCTAAGACATTTTTAACCGATTGTGCATGAGAAATTTTCAAGATGATTGCTTATCTTGATCGCCTCTGCTTCCAAATGCTTTTTTGATTCATTTAATTTAATTTCCGTCTAATGCATAAATAATAATTAGTTGAATATTTTGCTGTATACACTGGAAACACAGCCTAGGATTACCGTCTACCGAGTAGCTTCACCGATAGGGTCTCAAAAATTTCCCTCGAATGCTTTCATTTCCACAGTCCCGTGAGGATGAAGTCAATAATTTTATTCTTTCTGTTCACTATAGAATTTATAATATTTAGGTTCTAATGAAAGAAGAGAAGCTGAGGGGGCTTGGAAACATGAAAATTATAACTCAGTTGGCCATACCTTATGGACATGTGGAGAGTTAGGGTATAAGACAAATTGTTCCTCTA